CTTGACACAACTGTGTGACTACGCCGCGCTGTACTACAGAGATATCCTAACCTCTCGCTTGCAGGGTGCCGCAATATGCGCTGACTTACACGAATCCTCCAATCACTGGAATAAAACGACTCTGAGATTATCTCCTAGCGGGAAGCTCGATCTTGATTGACCGATTTCAGTCATCGAAGCGCACGAAGCGTTGAAAGCAATGGTCAGAGGGAAAACCCCTGGGAATGACGACTTACCAGCCGAGCTATTCTTGGTAATTTGGGAAGAAGTGGGAGATAGTCTGGTGAGGATATATAACGAGGTTCTTACGGGAGGGAAACTCGCAGGCAATATGTATAGAGGAATTATCTTTGTTTTGTTTAAAAAAGGAGATAAGTCAGAAATCCGTAATTGGCGTCCTATCTCAGTCTTAAATGTATCTTACAAAATTCTTGCAAAAGTACTAGCCAGGAGACTTGGTCGGTACTTACCAGATTTGGTAACTTCTGATCAAGCAGCGTTTATAAAAGGCAGATACATTTTTGACAATATTGTCACAACCATTGAGGCCCTGGAGATCATCCAGGAAAATCAAATGAATATGGTCGTATTGTTATTGAACCTGGAAAAGGCATATGACCGAGTAAATTGGTCATATGTCCTTACCACTCTAACGGTCATGCATTTTGGCAAGAATTTTTCGACATGGGTCATCGCCTTATATACTCTCTCCACTGCAGCAGTGATGATCAATGGACGGTTGTCTGACGAGTTCCCTCTGCCGCGTTCTCTTCGCCAGGGTTGCCCCCTGGCCCCCTTGTTATTCGCCCTCCAAATGGAAGGAGTCCTCAATAACATTAGGGCTCATGCACAGATTACCGGCATCCAAGCTGGACCCACGCAATGCACCGTTAAAGCACTGACCGATGACCTGTTTGCTGTTGTCCAAAACTCCAGCTCAGCTATGGGCGCTCTTAAGGAGTGCCTCGATGAATATGCACTCCTGTCTGAAGCTGCTATCAATTGGCATAAGTCTGTATATATCCTTCCTTCCCAATTCTCTCTCATAGTCGAATGGGGAATGAAGAGAGTAAGAGATGATGAGAATGAAAGATTTTTGAGAGTTCAAATTGCTCTATCCAATTGCACACAGGCGCAAAACTCTCTGCTTTTTGCAGAAAGTTACCTTAAGACTTACCTCGTGGGGTGCGACATACCACTTATCCATATACTGAAGAGCTATGGTGATAAATGGGGCACTCTTCGCTTTATTATGGTTTGTTGGAAGAGTGCGGTTGACCCACAACTGTACACGATCACAAAACGGAAAGCAACCAAGTTCATTTGGAAACCACTTGCTGAGGAAGGTGACTCCTTCAAAGGTAGCCTGGGATTTGCTGTGTACTCCCCGTACTGAGGGACGGCTGGGGATCCTGGATCCCCGCCGTCAGAACTCCGCAATGTTGTGTCAATGGATTACACGAGCCAATCAGGCCTATCTAGCTCCTCACTGGGTGCACCTTGCCGAACAAATTATAGCAAAAGAGTGGAATCTCTACCGCGCGACAGATGTCTGAACCTGCCCAATGCTTCACTCATACCAACGTAGGCACATAAAATCTGTTTTCTGGGCCCCAATAATTGCTGCCTATAAAAAGATCCGTCCAAACGTTTGGATTGAACCTTCTTCGAAAGCAGAAGTTCTCGTTCAGCCTTTGTTTAAAAACACTCATATCATAGATGAATCCGACAATTGGTTTGCTGCAAACTCTGCCAACTTCAACTTTGGCCGTTCGTGGATCGAAAGGGGAATTCTGAGGATCCAAGATCTGTGGGATCCCATTCTGGGTACATGGAAGCCCTTATCAGAATTACAGAACTAGCTGGGACAACTGAGAAGAATCGAGGAAAAGAGAAAGGCGCTTATCAATGCCATTCCACAGAAATGGAAAGATTTTCTGGCCCCTGAAGGAGTTGATCCACCAGGAACTTGGTTCTCTGGTGATCCAACCCTCTCAGAAGGATTATAGAAACTTCTATCCATCGATGAGAAAGAGAAAAGGGAATTTGAACATTGGCTTGAACACAATGATTGGCTGCAAATTGAATAAGAAAACCATCAACCCACGGTAGGCATCCAACTTCAACAGGTAAGAGTACTGGACTTCATTACGTCCGAAGGTACCCCCCGATACCAACTTCAGGCAAAAGGAACACCAGTCCTTAGCCCGAGATTGGATCCTGCGTTGTGGGAATGGACAGTGGAAGACAAAAGAGGCATGAATGTCTCAATCACGTGGTCTTATCTCCTCCAAAAAGTCCACAGGTAACAGCAAGAGCCAGATGGCTCCAATTAATGGACACACCAACTCTGGAAATTGATAGAGTCCTGACAGCCTGCTGGTCCCAGCTGAAACTGTTGGCTAATCAATGCCATGCCTCTCTGCTATGGTTGGTTCCCCTAGTGGCAACCCCCTCAGCAGTTTGGCTGGCCGAATGAGGGATGACTCTGAATCTTACTTGCCCTCGGTGTAAGTGGGCATTCGAATCAACAGTCCACCTATGGTGGGACTGCCCGGCTTCAGTTCGCATCTGGAAATGGTGGCAGAAACGTTGGATCCGCATCTCTGAACCAGCGTTCGAATGGACAAAAGAATGGTCCCTACTGGGCGGGATCCCGGTGGGAGCTCAGAAAACCAGAGGTTGGGGCTACATAGCCCAAACAGCTCGTGCTGTTTGCTTCAGTGTCATATGGCATGAAAGGAATCAACGTGCCTTTCAGGACACAGAGCTCACCAATCGCCAAGTCAGACGTTCATTTGAGTCCCAATTCCGACAAGCCATTCAGGCGGATTGGAGAAGGAAACAACTTATGCCACAAAATCCTCAATCAGACATCACATGGTTCAATCAGACGTGGGCACTTTCTAGTGTCCTCTGTACAGCCTCAGATACCATGAAGCTGAGTTTGGACAAATGGTGGTTCCAACATTGATCCTGGAAAATCTTCCTCCTTCTGTACAGATCACTTACCCCCCTCGCCCCCCCTCCTCCTCTTCCTTCTTTCTTCCTCCTCCCTCTCTTGTACACTGATGTGTAACTTGATCCTTGGTTACTATCAATTGGTATAAGATAGGATTCAACCTAGCGCTCGGTTGCTGGGCAAGCCACAAGAGGCAGGCAGACAGGTGGTAATGAGTTGTTTCCGTGGTTAGGTGGGTTTGAGGAAGGAGCGAAGTTAATAACTAAGGTCTTATAAGAAGTCCCCACTCTCTACTCAGCCGCAATAGGCTGATAGCAATACTAGGACTAGATAGTTTTCGACAATGTTAGGAGTAGTTTAAAATAAAATAACGGATAGAAGTAGCAGTAAATAGTTAGCTATTCATTGGTTGCTCACGATTGGTTCCTCTTTTTTTGGATTGTGACGGTTTTTTTAGGCCTTGTGGTTATTTTGTTTTGTTGGATGACATTTTTAGGTTTGTGTTCGGCTTTCTGGCCATTGGTTGGTGTTTTCTTTCCCAGGGTTGGGATGTGTCAGGGCAGCGGTCTTGATTTGACCATTCTGCTACTAGACCCCAGTGTCCCAAGGCCTGCACCTAAGCTGGGTAATGGTCCCAGTATCAAATTTTATTTTTTTTGTTTTTCGGGTTGTGTTGTTGAGGAATTTCCGGCCTCTCATTTCGGTGTGGTAATAAGAAAGAGCAGAGTTTCTTTTTAACCACCAGTACCTCCGAGCCTGTTTTTGCCGATCCTGATTTTCACTGCGCTCCGAGTTTTGCCGAGCCTGGGTCCCACTCCATTTCTTTATGGTACTCTCACGGGAAGAACAAAAAAAAAAAAAAAAA